CATATGTATCACTTCTAACAATTATCCTCATGTTTTTGGTTAACTTGTTACGTCCCGATTTTCTACCCAAAATTGTTTTATTTTTTTATTTATTAATATATCAGAGTATAATTACATTTAGCGGAAACATGTTGTGAACGCGTGTGTGTACAGTCGAACATTGCCTTTCTCACGAACCAATGAAGTGCCTGAAAAACATTTATAACAACTGGGTAGTAGCTACGCTTAGTGAGTTCCCCAAAATACCATATATCACAATAATATACATGCATATATCAAGTATCTAGGCTCACAATCGCTTAAGTTGCTATTTCCATTTTCTAGGTTGACAATCGCTTAAGTTGTTACTACCATTACCTTGTCTTTTGAGTATCTAGGCTCACAATCGCTTAAGTCAATATTGCCATCAACTCACCCTTTTGCCTTCAACATAAAGCTGGCGCGCTACCTCAACTCTCCAAATAACATTTCAACATATATATAGCAAACAAATAAACAATCCACAAACAGACAACTAACTAAACTAATCCGATTGCTTAATAGCATACTGAAACCACCTCCAACTAACTTAAGCATAATAGCATACTACCAACATATCCTACTGGTTCTTATATCCTAACATACATGGATATATATATATATATATATATATATATATATATATATATATATATATATATATATATATATATATGTTAGGATATAAGAACCAGTAGGATATGTTTGTGAGGTAACTCACCTAGGCAATTTCTTAGACGATTGGTATTATTATGAGGTAATATGTGTGTGTGTGTATATATATATATATATATATATATATATATATATATATATATATATATATATATATATATATATTCGTACACAGTATAGTGAGGTAACTCACATGGACAACTTTTTAAACGATTGATAGATATCCCTCCGGTGTAACGTGTAATGCATGTAACATATATTAACCTAGAATACTATAGATTATCAATTCCTACAACAACCTGATAGTGAAAGTTATATCCATCACTAATCCCAATGAATACCGAGAGTTCCATGAAATAAGGATCAGTCAGGTCGGATAGCTGGGAGGCAGGACCATTTCAGCGTATAGCCTTTCTGAAATCCAACAACCAAGCCAACGCGACCATTCTAGATACCTCTCCCGTAAGTAGATCAATCAGCATTATAGTTGGAGTTACTGATAAATCTTATTTATATATCCATAACAACGAATATGAATATAAATATAAGTTACACTTAAAGCGTAACTTAACTTGTAGGGATCCTAGGGGCTTCGATACCGAGCACTTCTATTTGCTCTGCCCTAATGCCTCATATCTTATCTAAAGTACTCCAAAAACCCAGAAAGGTCGGACTCGAGGTGTGAGGGTTTCTAGAGAGAGTTGGAGTGAAAAAAGGAGTGAGAAACAAATGAATATGGAGCACTCTATTTATAGTAAGGATGCGCGCCACACACTAGGGTAACGTCGATCCATCCGCTGCCTGCCATCTGTCAAAACACCTGTGGTCCACGTTGCACCTTCTAAAAGGTACGCGTCATGCAAAGCGTGGATTTTGTAAAGTCTATATCTTCTTCATATGAGCTCCATTTTCGACGTTCTTTATATCCACACGTAACTATCAACGAGATCTATAACTTTCATCTAGACACCATTGGCTAATTCTCAATTTATTTTTAAAGTTATATTTTTAATAGGTTAATACTGTTAAATTCCATATAAAAATCATAACTCTCTCATATGAATTTCATTCTCAACTCTCTTTATATCGATGGAATCGTATGGACGAGATCTTTGACTCTTGTTTAGATTGTTTTTCCTAACAATGGATAGATCTCTATTTCAGTTTCTCTGTTGTAAACTGCTACACTAAAACTTCTAAAAGTTATAACTTCCTCATATGAAGTTAGATTTAGACGTCATCTTATATGCATGCTTTTCGGTTTTGTGATTACTACGACTTTCATCAAGACTATTTATCCTAAATAGTCTTCTATCAAATGGGGTGTTATATAATTGATGCACTTTGCATTGTTGCTATAAATATGATGAACTTAAAGAAGCATTTTCAATGTCTTGTCTACTGCCACTTGGGATAACAGGAGGAATTTGTTTAAAATCTCCTCCAAAAACAATCACTTTCCCTCCAAATTGAAATTTGAGTTTCTAGGATTATGACACTTGAATATATCTTTCAAAGTTCGATCTAAAGCTTCAAACACATGCTTATGAATCATGGGTGCTTAATCCCAAATGATCAATGAAGTATTTTTTTTTAATAAATTGACGAGTTCACTATCTGGTGTTATGGAACAAACAAAATCGTCAGTAAGAGCCAAAGGAATTATAAACTGTGAATGTGCTATCTTGCCACTGGTTAATAATAAAGAAACAATCTCATTTGAAGCAACTTTTAAAACAATTTGAGGATTACATCTAACTGCAACATAAAATGTTTTCCAAATATAGGTTTTACTTGTTCCGCCATAGTTGTAGGCAAAGAAAACACTTCCTTCATTATTCTTAATTGCAATCATGATATCATCAAAAGTACTTCGTTGCTCAGATATTAATGCAATAGAAAGTTGATCGAACCCATTCTTTAAATTTGGTATGTCATAATCTAGCTTTTCAGTGATAAGACGATTGTTTGAAGAAGATACAGAATCAACATCAGGGTAAGGCATCCTTGTAAATTTTTTGAGACTTGAATTGTTACGAAGTAAAATTTGTTCAATATCAAACAAAACCAGGTTCTTAATTTGATATTCATTAAGTGATAAACCCGAAAAAATGGTATAATAATTAAAATAAATCTAAAAATAGAGTTGTTTGTATTATAAAATAATATTATATATTGAAAAAATTCGTATTTTAAAATAAATAGACAATATTATAATACCTGGAGATTTTAATCTTTGTTGTTGAGTGTAAAGAACTCCATCCGACAAGTACTCCCATGTATTTTCCACACAACATCCAATATAGACAATTTGTTAGATAATAACATCATAGCGAATATGAACCTTAGATAATAACCGGATCCAGATTGACTTACTTCCTTAATGACTTCGATGTATTCTTTATCATCATCTAAGATGCCTAGAGCATAACATGCACCGTCTAAAAGACCTAAAGCATAACATGCATCCAGATAATAACATCCTTAATGACACAATACATTTTGGAGGCATACATAAACTGATATCTATATATAAACGTAAATACATGTCGTACTATAGAAAACGAAAACTATTTTTGTATACTAGAAAACGAAAACAAAAAAGGAAAACAATTTTTTATATATAGAAAACAAAAACAGTTTTTGTTGATAATTTTGGTTAACTTATAAACACAAGTTGTATTATAACTCTTCTCATTCATAAAAATGTATAGTTTTTTTTTTGTTAACTTTGAACTCTTATGAAACTGAAAAAACAATGAATTTTGGATAGAAGATGTTTCAATTCATAATACAAAGTTATACCTTTATATTATTAATTGTTGTAGGAGAAAACAAATTTAGAGGAAGAATATCAAAGGTATTAGAATGGTTCCGGTTCTCATTATTTATATAACACTAGTTACTAAAAGGAATTAAGGTGAATAATGGAAAAAATTTCAATATATAATTTTAAAAATATAATTCTAATTAATAATTCCTAATGTAAGGTGATGTTAAAATGGAATCCAATTAATATTTCTTAATATAACGTCATTAATAATTAATTATTAAAGGATAATATTACAGTATTTAGAAATTTAAAAAATTTAGAACTAAATAATATATTATATTTAACTTCGTCAAAAGCTTTTGAATTTATTATCTTTACATCTTTTTGAATTAGTTAATATTGTTTAGTTATTTAGAAAGATGAGGTATATCTTTCAATTTTTTGAAATTCAAGTATGTAAAGACTAGATATTGTTTATATGTTAACAAAATTAATGCCTAATTTGTAGGGTTTCATAAATGAAAGGCAAAAGACATTTTCTTTTATGTTATTCCTATATGTAATTATATCATTTTATAATTTGTTTTAATTGTATTTTAATATTATATCTTAATGTAATTAGCTATGTTATAGATATGGAAAATTTAAGTTTAAAGTAAAAAATCAATAGATTGATACTTGACAAATATTAATTAAATATTAATTAGAATGTTTAATAGAATGATACATGACAAAACAATTATTCTTTTATTAATATAGAAAGAAATGTAAAACAATCGAATTTTTGGTTATAATAGGAAAAAAAAAACTTAAATTTAATTAGGTTGGGTGATTTCAAAACCAATTCAGCGGTCTTTTTTTAATGTCTTTTGATCTAATTAGTCTACTCTAATAAATGAAGGTTTTTTTGCCACATGTCCTATTCTCCTTCATTTGGACACATGACATTTTCTAAAAATTTTAAATTTTCTATTTTCCACTTGTCATTTTATTGTATTTTTCATTTTATTAAATTAAAATTCCACATTTAATATATAAGGTAATATATATGTAAGGTATTTATTAGAAAATGGTTTATATATGTAATGTATCCAATACATTAAAATCTCATTAATTTTAATAATTCAAAAAATTTCTTATTTTTCTTATAAATTCAAACTTTTCAAATTATTAAAATTTTATATTTAATTTTTTTTAAATAAACCCATGTAATACATAGGTCTTACACCTAATTTTTTAATCTAACTAGTTTTTTAATATAATGTATTCTACCGTTAAAATAGTGGACCTATGTATGTATAGTGACAAATATGTAAGAATTAATTTATATAATGTTAACCTGAAGTAATCCTTCAGAGGTCCCACATCATGAATACTCGATATTCAAATATGATATGACTTTAATTAACATAATGTTTTGATGTTGGTTTTGTTTTGAACCACAAGATGTAACATTCCAACATGAGTAAACTTTATTTTGGAGTGTCTTATACTATATATGTGATCACCATAATTTTGTTGTCTAAAAATCATCTCCTTTATACGAAAAGATACAATATACATAACACAAACCAACAACAAAACTCCAAATAAATGTCACAAGATATTTTCTATAACTATACGATTGATCTTCCAAACACACAAAATGCTAAAGAAACAAGGGAAAAAGAAAACGCTTGATGAACACACACAATCTATGCTTCAACCTCAATGATCTGAGGACCAAGATACTCGATTCTATCCATTTCCGACTCTTTAGGCTTCTCGATCTCCTCTAACCATTGGTAGCACTTTCCTTCTTCTTCTGGAATCGTCGTTTCTTCACCTAAAAAATCACCCAATTAATAAATTAACTATATCAAGATTTTTTTTTTTTGAATAACATTGGAATTAAAATGCAGTTACATTTTGGAGTAATTGATTACTTACATGAAGATGATACAATGTACGGGATTTCTTTATAGTAAGAGCAGTCTCGACCATCTTTTTTTGAGTACGAAGGTCCGACCACATCCAGAATCATGCATGGCGTAACAGCTGTGAAGGCATGTATGTTGCCTCCTGATGTTGGGTACAATACACACGTGTTGCATGGAGCTGTAAACACGTTATCTACTTTCAAGCATGCTAATTTTTCTACATAATACACCCACAAATTAAAGACACATAATTATAATGAACAAACAACTTTCTGCATTGTATACGATGTATATGTGTGTTTGTTTAAAGATCGAGGACAAATTACGTTGAGATAAAGATGGAGGATTAATTAAATCGTATGCTTTAATGTGCACTTTGCCAACCAAAAGCTTGCTAAAAACCGTCATTCCTGGATGATTATGGAGAGGTATGACTGCATTTTCCGGTAAAAATAAAATATATAACTGCAAAAATGCATGAGATCTCGATTAAAAATAGAATTGAAATTCAGTGGGTGTTTTGATACTGTAAGCCCAAAAGGCCAAAATTAACATCGGGCTAATTCAATAATGAAATAAACCAAAGCAGTTATGGAAATTATTAGTAGGTTTATAATTATATACAAATATAAGAAGATTATATAACTAGTTAATTTCTTGTGATAATTACCGAGAAGTTATGGCACTGGTAAATGGAGGTGTATACTACTACGCTGTTTTCGGGATCAAAAAATTGCAAATTCCTTGGTAATCCAAAGTCTTCTGGCATCATACCATCTGCAATATGATATGATAAAACCTTTGATAAGTATCATATGTGTGTATGTATGTATATACATGTGTGTATAACACAATATTGAAGTCAAGTGTATGTAAAGAATTGAAGTATTTTAAGTCATTTGATGATGATATTATAAGTGATAAGTTATAAGAATGATATTAGTCTACTAATGTTGTCCTATAATTAAATGAATGGATATAGATGTATGTAAGCACATACTATTGGTATTTTAGTTTATTCTATAACTGGTAACCAATGCATCTTTCAGCAAAATTAGGGTTTTAATAGCTTTCTCAAGAAAAGTGTACCATATTTTGATGTGAAATGATCATAAGCAAATTTTAGTGTATCTCTATCAAGATTAATATATATGTTTCAACCTGGCTAATTTAACTAAAGTTAATTTTGAATTTTTGATATTCAAGAGTTCATATTAACTTACTTTCAAAGTCTCATTGAGTTGATTTTCATCTTCTTCAAAACTTTAATTGCATAGGTTCTCCAAATTAAACTTGTAATATATTTACTATTTTATGTAAACGTTACATAAAATGTAAACAACTATAAGTTTGCTGTATTGAAAGATTATCAGGTTAATTAGTTATAAAAGAATGATACATATATGAACTGATATATAAATTATCAGTTTACCAATTCTATATAATCTGTTCATACTTAAGTAATTATATAATAATAATAATGAGGGACACTTAACTAAAGGATAAGAAGAGATCACCCACCGAGAATACGGCGGAGCTTCTGGTCGTCGGAAGGCGAGGGAACGGTGCCAACGCCTTTGAAAACATCTAAACAAGACATGTAAAGTCTCTGCAACGGAAACATTACCGGCGGCGATCGTATCATCTTCATACTGGTTTCGCGGCAGCATCTCTTCCTTCTTCTTCTCTTACTCGTATCATCAGCCTTAGTAATTCTTCGCTTTCGATTTGATTGCTTCACCTTATCACTCGTCATCGTTCGATCAAAAACACGATTCAAAACTTCTCAAAATCAATCAACAGGCTTCGATCCTTCGATCCTATGCCATATATAATAATAAGAACTGGTTGCTTATAAGTAGTAAGGAAGACAACTGTTGATCTATAGTCATCGCGTGGAAATTTCATGTGCGCAAAACATGGAGTTGAAAAAGTGGGATGGGAGGGAAAACCAGGGGCGCCATGGATGGAATGATAGAAATGCCCGATTCATCCCGTTAACCGTCCACTGTTTACATGAATGACGGAAATTACTGTTATGCCACAGTGCTTAGATAATTTATTATATCTGTTAATTGCATTAACACCCCTCTACTTTCAAAACATCGACCTTTAGCCCCCCAAGTATTGCTCCTTTCTTTGCGTAGTAAGAGTCCATCGAGACATTTGTTGGATGCGACTAGGGAGCAGTAGTTGTCAAAGATTTAGATTTTACTTAAGAATTATTTATGTTTTGTAAAATAGAAGATCCTATAATTAAAAATAAACTCATTTCCAAATTTGCTCCCTGTCTTAGGTGTGAAGTTATTATTTCTTAATGTTAATTAAGACTTTGATAGTATAATTAGCTGTAACATCTTAAGCGTTAACTATACTTTTTGTTGTTAGAAATCGTAAAAATTAAGAAGAAAACATTTTACTAAAAAAAATATTGTAAAGACTTAAGATATCAAAGGGATTATTATGAGTGTTTTCTGTCTAATTCAGAATGATTTGATGAAATGACGATGCTTTACGAAACTACTTGCAACGTGCGATACTCAATTATAGTTTGCTAGACGAACTTTTCATACTCGACTAGATAATAAAACTACAATGGTGAGATCGGTATCATAGTGTAATGGGGATCGTTTTTCACTTGTAGGATATTAAAATCGTAAAATTTTAAGATCAAGATCGAGGTTTTAACAACCACGGCTGAGAGAATATGCGGGTGCAATTAGAGATAAACAAAAAGATCCATCTCAAACTAGTAAAAAAATCAAAACCAAACCAAACGAGACCAAACCAAAAAAAGACGGGGTCCCAAAAAGAACTAACCGTTCCGAGATCAGTCCCTAAAAGGCTGAATCGCTCCCAAAAAAATCACTACCTTTCTTTACGCCATCTGAAAACTTAAAAAGCTTTTTGATTCTAATTAGATGCTTTCCAAGCTCCCACTACCCATTGTCCATATTCATTCTTGCATTCATACACCTCTTGTCATCTCTACAACCACTATCATGAGGCCGATAGTTGACCCTTTAATTGGTTAATAAGCTAGATACTCAAGTTCAGAATCATGATAGAGGGTTTGTGGTAGATGATGGGATGAATACAAATTTTGGTGCTACTAATTTTGATGATTTTGTTATTCCTATCTTGGCTCCTTTGCCTTTAGATGATAAAAGTAAATAAGATAAGGAGACTGAGTCATTGTCAATGACGAGGAAGGATTATAGGGTTTTGAATTGAAAGCTTAACATGTTGGTTCGTGTGACATTCTCTATTTTTCATAACAATAAATAAATAAAAATAAAATAAAATAAAATAAAAACTTTTCTTCACGCTTTAAAATCTTGTTCGGTTTTATAAATATATCTTTGAGTAAAGATGTTTCAAAATACAAATACTCTAGGATGTCATAATTAATACACAACATTGTTACAACGTAAAAGACGTAATGGTCTTGACACTAATGTAGATTGTCTCTTAAACCACTCGGCATCCTAAACAAGTTCCAGAAGCTTTATCCTTGTAACCTGTTATGCATATAAATTGAGTAGGTGAGGTTGGAAATCCTGGTGAGACATATAGGGTTTTCAACCCCACAATATTATTATGATAATAACTTATAATTATCAAACTTGCAAAACCAACTATTACTAAACAATACTGATATATCCTTAACTTAGGTATCTATAAAACATTTCACCCATACATACTCATCCCAAACAATTCGTAAAACCTGGTTCCCGGTACGTATTTTAAGTTTAAGTAATTGCATGTTTTATACTGGGACTCGACGAGTTGGAGGCCTAACTTGTCGAGTAGACTGGATTTTTGATGCGGGTTTTAAGTAACCTACCCGATGAGTCGGGATCCCGAATGGACGAGTAGGACTGCGTGGATTAAACACTAATATTTAGGGTTTGCACCCTATTTAAACGCCTTAACTTGTCCCATTTCAGCCTTCATCATCTCTTATAGTCTGGGAAAGCACTAACTCGAAACCCTAAAGCATTTGGAGTATCCTTAAGCCATTTTTGTGTGTTTTTAGTTGTTTGAAGCTTGAAGAAAGAAGTGGAAGCTTGAGGGTTCCAGAAGAAGCAAGTAGATCCAGAGGTTTTGCTTCATTTCCAGCTCATTCAAGGTAAAAAGCTTCAACCTTGACTTTCCATTTGATAGATCCTTTTTAGGGCTTAGTTCTTCTCATTTTTGGGTCATTTCTAAGTCACCTTCAGGTTTAGAGCGTAATATAGAGTGATGAATTCAGATCTTGAACCTAGGAGGGTTCTCATGGCATAAAGGTGCCAACTTTATTGCCATAAGAACCCCATGCATTTTGTAGACTCCATTTTTGGACGTTTTAGGCTTGAAGACCCATGCATGGATGTAAAGTTCGTAAATTTATGTGTTAAATCGACCCTAAGAGGTCAGATCTACACTTTGGATGCAATGAGCTCAACATAAACCGACTGTAAGGACATGGACCTTGGGGGACTCTCCGAGTTGTTCATAGGACTCGGTGAGTCGGGTATTGGTTCCCCAACCTTTTCTGTTCCTGAGGAATCTGGTTGAGTCTAGGAGGGGACTCAACAAGATGAACGTGATTATGGACCTGAAGAACAACGTACTCGACGAGTTCAAGGATGAACTCAGTGAGTTCAAGGCATTATCCCAATTATATGAATAAGAACTCGACGAGTTCAAGGAGAACTCAACGAGTCAAGGACTAAACACTTTAACTCGGATGAAGATGAACTCGACGAGTTCAAGGATGAACTCAGCAAGTCAGTTGTAGAAGGTCCCAACTTTACTCGACTAGCTCTTGCAAGACTTGGTGAGTAGGTTCAAAGTTTTAGCATTTTAAGGATTATGGAACTTGGTGAGTTGTTGGGTCAACTCGGCGAGTTGAGTCAACCAGATGTTGACTTTGACCCACAATTGACTTTGACCAAGGTGTTGACCTGGACTTTGACTTTGACTTTGACCTGAGTAACCCTGGAAAGGGTTAAGAGTATGTAATGCTAAATTAAGGAAGGTTGTTATGTGTAGGAGTTGAGAGGAGTTGATCTCGACAATGAGGACATTTCAAACTTCACGATGCTGAGGTGAGTTACCTTCCAGTAGAAGTGGGTCTAAGGCACTAAGGTCGGCCCACTAGTAAGAGATTATATTAGAGATGATTATATTTGTGATAATTATTTGGTATGTTGCTATCTATTATGATTATGTGCTAGGATGATATATGTAATAGTAGTAGTAGGGGCGGAACAGCCCCCAGTTACCGGTTGAAAGATACCGAAGGGGTAGGCAGCACCCATGCATGCCTAGCTATATGTTCATGATATGTTATTATGTGGTAGTAGTAGGGGTGAAATAGTCCCTAGTTACCAGTTGAAAGATACCAAAGGGGAGGTTAGCTCCTGGCTACCGGTTGAAAGATACTGAAGGGAGGTTAGCTTCTGGTTACCGGTTGTAAGATACCGAAGGGGAGGTTAGCTCCCGACTACCGGTTGAAAGATACCAAAGGGGAGCCCAGCTCCCAGTCATTCCAACTAGATATCGGTTGCAAGATACCGAGGGACTGGCCTTATGTGTATGTGGTATGATGGGGAACTCACTAAGCTTCGTGCTTATAGTTTTCAGTTTTGGTTTCAGGTACTTCCTCTTCGAAGGGAAAGGAGCCGACATTGTAGCAGCGCATTGCACACATGATTTACGCACTATGATGTTCTTGGGATTGTAATCTGAAATTATTATTATTCTATGACATGTTTCACGATATTTGACTTATGGGATTATGGTTTGGTGTGATATCAATGATGTTTTTAAGTAAACAGTTTTATAAGTAATATAATTAAAAATAAAATTTTTGGTCATGATTTTTGGGATGTTACAAGTTGGTATCAGAGCCTTGGTTTGAGGGATTCAAACACACCTTTGGGGGTTTCTGAACTCAAATTGAGGGTTTGAAATATTTTTACAAAGGAAATAGTTTTTCCAAAAGTTAAAAATAAAGCGTTTTGAGAAAGAACAAGGATTGTGATGCGTGCAACCGACCGAGCTCAAGTAAGTTTTCCCTAAGATACCCATACATTTTATGTTATGATATGATATGATTATGAGAACTACATGCTAGATTAGGGCTAAGGATCTATGAAGGATGCCTTTATGCCTATTGTATGTGTATGAGAACTGCATGCTAGAATAGGGCTAAGGATCTAGGAAGATGCCTGATATGCCTGTTGCATGTGCTTTTTGAGCTGCACGATACACTGATTAGTCAGTGATATGATAGTATGAGTAGCATATGCTTGGTTTGGGTTACTCAATGCTCGAATGCTTCTTGATTTGTGCTATTAGGAGTTCTACTTATCTTTAACTAACTAGTAAACGAATACACTAAGTCACATATAACGAAGTCTGAAAAATTTTCGAGGGTTAGGTTTAGCCTTACTTCGTACCTCTCGTTTGAGAATAACCGTTGTAAGGAGAGATCTCTCATTCGAAGAATTATATGGTCTTAGTAATATGTAATGGTATTTGCGAGCTAGTTAGGGAGAGATGACAGGAATTTCTTATGCAGCTAATGGCAGAGAGTAGATCGGTGAGTTACCCTAGGGTAAGCTTAAGATGAGATTAACAAAGAATAAAGCAGTAGTAGAAGGGACTTGGTGAAGTCGTAGCAGTCCTTAAGAAAAGTACGGATAGACGTGGAAAGTAGTATGGGCCCGTACTACTGAAAATAGAGGATCCGTACTCGAGTCAAGGAGGGCTAAGATAGTGTTGGACTAATGTCTAATAATCATCATGTTAGTAGGAGCATGATAATTATGATAAGTATTGCAAGTTAACAATGTTAATTATAGAAAACAAAAGGTTTCAATATGTGAGGTTGTAGGGGTTGAAAAAGTTGTTTTGCTATAATTAAGGGAGAGGAAATTATACTTCATTTTAATTCTAAAAAGCTTAGAT